TATATATATATATATATATATAGGTTGGTTATTATACAACATTTGACATTTGTGCAACCAATACAATACAATCTCAACCGTCCATTTCATTTGATTAATATGTGATTTTATAGAAGTTTTGATTGTTTCTTAATATAAATTATTGATTATAATTAATGAATCATATTCATCTTCCATAAATATTCAAATCATAATAAATGAACTCTCATCATATCCATAAATATCTCAATTTATTGGGTTGCATTGGTTATACAAATACGATAGGTTATATTTAAAACAAACTCTCTCTCTATATATATAATATATATATATATATATATATATATATATATATATATATATATATGTGTGTTTTGCCATGTGTAAACTTATTGGAAGAGAGAGGAACTCACCAATATCATCTCAATTGCCTTTGGCAAACCCAATAGCCTTGGAAGTCGTTGGGTACCTTAAAAAGTATTTTGGATTTGTATAAGTACAAATCGTAAAATAAAATTGCAAAAGTAATGTTAATTTAGAAATCTTAAATACTTTAGAAATCTAAAAATCATTTTTTTTATGAGTATTCATAATAAATAACATGATAAAATATTCATGATGAATGTTGTGACATATATTCATAATAAATAATATTCATAATGAATACTAACAAGATACGTGGATTATGGGTTCTTAAATTATTTAAGATTTCTAAATAAACCTGCCCTTAAACTCATATTCACTGAACATAAAGCCAAAGTTGTTAAAATGCACATATCGCTAACTATTGTACCTCCGCCGCCAGGGATAACTCCAAGAGACAATTCGGGCAAGCCGAGTTGAGCCTTTGGAGCTGCAATACGTGCATGACATCCCTGTTTAAAACAATCCGATGAGAATGCTCTTAAAAAATTTATATTCGTAAACAACGAAATCTTGAATTTCAAACCATTGCAACTTCTAATCCAGCCCCAAGTGCAAGTCCTTCTATCGCGGCAACTATAGGTTTCTTTGCATCTACGTTTTCAAATGAACAAACAAACAAAAGTATATCAGATTTATACTAAAATAAATCTCCGTACCAATAAGGGATTGTACCAAAATAACCATTAGGCTATACTGGTATATATATAGAGGATGTTTACTTTGCAAACCACGTTATTTGTACAAACCGTACAAACCTCATTCAACCAATCATAATTTTTTATTTTGTTTATTTTTTTGTAATTATGAGAGGTTGATTAATCATTTCTATTATGGAGGGTGTTAATTATGGATATTATCATTTTTATTATATTAATTTTAGAGAAATACATGAAACAGTTTCATTAAAATTTCATAAGTATTATATGAAACAATTTTATAACTATATATGAAACAACTTTATCAAAAAAAATTATATGAAACAATTTCATGAAAAAATTTCATAAGATTAAACAATTAAATCGATGGATGAAAGTGGTTTGCACGGTTTGTATAAATATGAGTAGTTTGTATTTGATCACTCCTCTATGTGTGTGTGTGTGTGTATATATAGTGTTAAGTTCAGATAAAACCTTCAATCGTGTTGACCACAAAGTCAATGGAAAAATCAGGTAGAAGAGATAAGTTTCCTGCCAATCCAAACAATGCTTAATTGTCAACGAACATATTTGAACACGAAAATAAACTAATATATTCGACTGTAGCAAAGACGTCATACTGGTGATTTTAATGTTATCAAGCATTTTTAGTGTAGTTGTGATTGATAAGGTAAATATAACGTGAGTCAGGAGGTGCAAAGTACATACTCACAAATATCCCCCCTATCATCTTAAGATCTCGATAAGACAGGGGTCAACTCCATTACAAGATCCTAAGGGCAGCGTACTTGGCGGTTGGTCGTTCTAAATGAAATTCCGAAGGTTAGAAACTTGGTGTTTTTTGACTCAGACCTTCTAAGTCAGTTTCTAATCCATTTCAAATTTTATCCACAAGCAAGCAGTTATAAGTTATAAATGCTATGCATTTAGTTATCTGTTAAATGCTTAACTACTCTGTAACCGTTGATCTCTCTTATAAATATATCAGACGGTTAATCCAGTCTGTATATACACTCGAGTTTTTCCGCCTTTAAAAGCGAGAGTGATTCTTGGATTATCCCAATACTGATTTCGGGATACTTGAAAAATACAGTATTATCTACACGATCCAAGAACTGTTCAAGTGATTGTAACCACGAAACCCATGTTCTCGACACATCAAATGATAAATGTATACCAGTCTTTTGAACGTTTTGGAACACATTGATGTCAAATCCACCTGAAAACATCCCATGTTTGCCTACATAAAATAAAAGGATTTGGAATTAGCAAGCAAAATTAAAAAAAAAAATGCCTTTCTGGCTGAATCGTTAATGCAATCATAAGGATTCAGGTTGTTGATTTATTTAAGGACCAAACTCATTAGATAATTGTACCTGTAGGGACTTAATTTATCTATACTGTATTATAAAGTATTTGGAAAAGACTCTTAAAAACCATTTTTTATGCATTAAGTATTGTTTATTGATGCATATTATTTAAAATTCAAGATTACAAATAAATTGTGCGTATGTACAACTTATTAAAGTTTCATGTTTGAATTCGTGTTCGTGTAACTAACTGCAGATAAACATAATCAAATATTAGATATGTATCTCATTTTAAATATAAAAATTTTAAAATATATTTAGGATAATCATTGAATTCTAACAAAATATTAATTATTATCTTTATAAAAAATTATATTATTAAACAAAAAACAAATGACTTTATTATTAAATCTAAATTAAATTGTAATAAAAAATTAAATTAGAGAAATTACACAAACAACAAAACAGGAACTTTTGAATATTTAATTTGATACTAAAATCGATACATTTTTTTTCAAAATTTTATGATACCTTAATTTTATATTTTATTCAAAAAATAAAAAACATTATCGTTTTTTCAGTATCACATAAAATCGTATTATAACATCGACGAAGACGAAATATAATGAAACATCAAAATCGAGATGCATCTTGCAACATTGTGCGAGTACCATTCTAGTTTAAAAAAAATGTAACCACAGGGATATATAATCTATATAAATATTAAAATCGACAACTAGCTTAAGTTAAAACATCAAACAATCGGTAGTTATTCCAATTGACAACATTCAAAATTCAATACAGAGAACTGTTTGTTAAACAAATTACCAGTCAAAACGATCGCTTTTACATCATCTCTGCTCATAGCTTCTCCAATTTTCTCCTTCAACGAAGCAATAACTGAACAAGAAACCCCATAAACGAAACATACAATCAATCACCAAAGGGCAGTTGGATTAGCGATATCGTAGCTTTTGGCCTCCTAGGAGGGAGGTAGAAGTTCAAATTTCACCAAAGATGAGGAGGGTGTGTGAGTTTATTTGTTACATTTGTTGTATATAAATATTATATACTTAAAAAACATACAATCAATCTTTGACATCACATTTAAGTAGGAAAAACTGAACTAATAAAAACCCTGTTTATTAAACGACTTAAAACTTAGAAAAAGAAAAGAAAAACAAAGAACCGATATAATTGGACGAATCTATGTTCAAGTTGAACGAAACATATCTGTATCAAAATAATATTTAAAACAACTTATTTCATTGATTATATTGGTTTAACAAAACAACATCAGTGCAATGCTCATTCATATTCCGATTCTCCTGCATTCTTATTTTTATTTTCATTCTCATTCTCATTCGTTAAAATGAACCAACTGTGCCCTCAATCTAAATGTTAAAACCCTGATGCCCCGAACTTCCAAAGTCCCAACCAAACTGAAGTCATCTTGTTTCTCTTAGGAACTGTTTATTTACCTCTTAATAGTTCCATTAAGAGGTAGTCTTTGAATCGTTAAGAGGTGAATCTTGTTTAACAAAAAAAATAGTCTGCTTCTTAATGGTTCTAAAACCCTCTGAATGATTTTGTATCTTGGGTCTCCCTTAACCATTCACTTACCCTAATTTCATTATGAACAATTACCAAACAATTATATTTCATTTTGCACTACATCATAAGAGCCTCTTAATCGTTCTGACCACTTAATTATTCTGCAACAAACCATTCAACAACTATCTTTATTGGGTTAACCCAACTGTTTAATTTAAAAACCGAATAACCAGAAACCATTCTGATTTGAATGCAAAAAAGGGGCAAAAAAAAAACTAAGGAAAAAGTGATTGAATGAAAACTTACTTGAGATTGCAAAGGCATTAACAGGAGGATTAGAGAAGGTGATGATGGCAACACCATCAAACCCTACTTCCATTTTCACTTCAATCTCTCCCATTTTCTCTTTGTTTCTTGAGTGATTGGTTCAAGTGGGAGTCAATGGAGAAGATGGTCATCAAAAGCAATATATAGAGAAGTATGGAGTGTTGTGTGTATGCATGTGGTTGTTGGTGTTTGCTTTTAGGAGCTTTTTTAAGTTTTGGTGATGGTTATAATATACCTTGTATTTATTTGAAAATTACGGTTTTGCCCTTTGGTTTCGTGGGTGCGTTTTGCATACTGGACATGACAAAACTAGATGGTATACAGGTCTTCGTCTAAGAACCTTAGATGCGTTTGGTACACTGGACATGACAGGTCATCGTCTAAGAACCATCAATCCAGCCTCGTTTAACCAGTGGGCTGCTATCGATCTAGATCTATATTGGTTCAATAAAGGCTGATCATAGAAAAACACACTGTAGTTTTTATTTATTTATGTTAAGAATGGTGCTCCGAGAAATGGGGACTCAAAGTGATAGAACGAGATTTGCAGCAACTGTAATGGTAAAGATTTAATTGTTTTTTGAGTGATGGGTTCAAGATCGGACTCAAAGTGATAGAACGAGATTTGCAGCAACTGTAATGGCAAAGATTCAATTGTTTTTTGAGTGACAGGTTCAAGATCTTGGACTCGTCACTCAAAAAAATAATTGAATTTTGCCATCTTGGATAATTATTACTTATATCTGCTGTCAAAACCTTCTTCCGTCATGGTCAACCTTCGATTTCGAAGAATCCATCGCTTCCAATCTAGTCGATGAACCCACTATATGAACAATCTTCCACATTTATATGCTTTTTTGCATCGATCAATATTTTAGGGTTCACAGATGGTGAGAAATTAGAGAAGAAAATAACGAGAAAAATTGTGTTTCAGGGTATTCTTAAAATAATAAAGTAGGTAAAATGACTAAAATACCCTTATATGAACAATACTTAACAGGTGGACTTAATTTCTGTTAGTCCCAAGAATGATGGACGTAAGCAAATGGAAGCGACATATACAGATGTAATTTCGAAACTCAGATTGTAATTCCTACAGTTTCAGTAAACCACATGGTCGATTTATGTAATTTAGTTATTTAATTAAAAAAATAAGCCACTATACTTTTTTAAACTTTAAAAATGTCAAGTGGGGTCATTAAATTTTTTTATTAATATTATTTACACTAAATTTGACCAAAAACTATCAAAAATTCCTTATGTCATTCTATATAAAATTTGAAACATTAATAATTCAAAAGGTATCTTCTTTAACAAACAAAAAAAAATTTAGGGGTTGTTTGACAGTTATTGAATGATTTGGTGTAGAATGATTAAGGAGATGTTTGAGATTGCTTATAAAAACAACTTATTGACTTATTCTGATGTGGCACCGGTAATAAACACTTTGAGTGTTTGGATAAACAGCTTATACCGGTGCCAAACCGGTAATAAAAAGTTTTTGAAGAAGTTAAATCATTCTAACTTGTATTAAGTTTATAAGGATTTTTGTAGAAAAGCACAGGTTATTTCAAATTAGCAGATCCCAAACACCCCATAATAGAATGATTAAGAGGCTCTCATGTTATAGTGCAAAATGAAATATAATTGTTTGGTAATTATTTATAACCAAATTAGAACGTTGAACGGTTGAGGAAGACCCATGATACAAAATCATTTAGAGAGTTTTGGAATCATTAAGAGGTAGATTTTTTTTTTACGAAACAAAATTCACCTCTTAACGATTCAAATGCTGCCTTTTAATGGAACTATTAAAAGGTAAACAAATAACCCCTTAGATTTTAATTTAGAATTTTAAAATTTGACGATTTAAACCTTACAAGACGGACACTTAACGGGTAGACTTAACGATCGGTTTTCGAATCTTCTTTTGCCAAAGAAAAATAAGGGAATGGGAAAAATTATCGTGTTCTTAACTTTTTTTAACGAGGGAGAGGGAAAAAAACGACGTTGAATTTTTTTAAAGAAAACTTTCCTTCCACATATGGAAGGAAAGAAATAATAATAATTATAAATATTTATAAAATTACATATCTACCCATCAATTATAACATGTTGGAAAATAACGGATGGTATATTTGTAAAAACATCATATTTTTTTTCTTTTCTTTTCTTTCCCTTTTGATCAAGCAGTTAGGGGGTGTTTGGTTCAGTCAAATGAATGAAAATAAATATGAAAATGAAACTGACAGGGAATGAAAATGAGAATGAATTTCCATTCCCCCCAGTTTAGCCGGGAATCAAAATTTGGCCTTTTGTAGGAATGGGCTCATTATATTATATAAAACCAACCAGTTTCTTTTATTTTCATTCTCATTGATTACTGTCTAATACCTCTTACCAAACATCCTCTTATTTTCTTTCCTTTCATTCCCTCTCAAGAACACAAATAATTTTTTTCCCTTAATTTTTTTTATTTTCGTTTCTTTCCATCATTTTCTATTATTTTCTCCTCAAGTTCGAGAAGACAGTGTTAACGTCTATTAAACCCGATACTGAGTATAAGCAAATGAAAACGATAGAAACTCTGATTTAATTAATTAAAAAATGTAATTTTTAAAAATTTCATGTTATAATTCCCAAAATTGGTAATAAATCAATGATGAATTTATGTAATTTAATTATTTAATTAAAAAAAATAAGCCACTAAAACTTGTTAAAAGGCTTAAATAAGCAATGAAATTAAGAAAAAAAAAGTCAAAATGGGTTCACTAAATTTTTTATAAATATTATTTGCACTAAATTTGACAAAAGGTTCTTGAAAATAATATAAAATAATCACTAGCATAAACTACAAATTTGGTCCCTGTGGTTTGTTGGAAATAACACTCTGCGTCTCAGTAGTTTCAAAATTACAAGATGATCGTTAGCGATATTATATTATAAAACATTTGATAAAAGCTCTTAAAAATCATTTTTATGCATGAAATACTGTTTATTGATGAATATTACTTAAAACTCAAGATTGCAAGTAAATTGTGCGTAAGTACAACTTATTAAAACTTAATGTTTGAATTCGTGTAACTAAATGCAGATAAACATAATAAAATAGAGAATAACATCTCATTTTAAATATAAAAAGTCTAAAATATAATTTGGATAATCATTGAGTTCTAACAGAATCATTATCTTTATAAAAATTTTAAGTCAAAAATAAATCACTTCACTATTTGACCTAAATTAAATTACAATGAAAAATTGAATTAAATAAATTGTAAAAAAAGAGAACTTTTAAATAGTTAATTATTAATCGATATATTTTTTTAAAATTTTGTTATACTTTCAAATTTATTTTTATTCAAAAGTAAAAACAATATTTTTCTCAAAAACACATAAACTGTATTATGTCAACAAAGACAAAAAATAAAACAGAACATTAAAATGAAGATGTATCCCGTTGTATTGCACGAGTACCCTTTTAGTAATTATAAAAACACTTAAAAAACCATTTTTTATGCATTAAGTATTGTTTATTGATGCATATTATTTAAAACTCAAGATTACAAGTAAATTTTGCTTAAGTAAAACTTATTAAAACTTAATGTTTGAATTCGTGTAACTAACTGCAAAGAAACATAATCAAATAAAGGATAACATCTCATTTTAAATATAAAAAATCTAAAATATAATTAGGATAATCATTGAGTTCTAACAAAATACTTAATTATTATCTTTACAAAAAAATTATATTATTAAACCAAAAATTAAAAAATGAATTAAAGAAATACACAAAAAAACGAGAAACTTTAAATAGTTATTTTGGTACTAATATCAATAACTTTTATTTTTATTTTTATGGTATATCTTCATATTTATATTTTATTCAAAAATAAAAAATATTATCGTTTTCTCAAAACCACATAAAACTGTATTATAACATCGACTGAGACAAAAAAAAAAAACGAAACATTCAAATCAAGATGTATCTCGTTGCATTGTGCAAGTACCCTTCTAGTAGTTTACAATAACGTTTGATTTGATCTCTGGCGACCAATAAATGAGGGACATTTTCATCTTTTTATCAATTTTTTCTGTTTTTTGCCCAATCAAAATCGAATTTGTAATTTATGGTCCTTAGATTAATCGATTTTTGTTCCTCCTTGAGTTAAACCACAAAGGTGGTGCCTGATTGGTTTGAGCTTGGCTCCAAAGGTCAAAAGTATCAGGAGGTCCCAGGTTCAAATCCAAGGAGGAACAAAAATCCACTTGTCGCCATAGAGGTTCAAATGCGGTGACTCCGGGCTACGTGCAAAACAGGTGGTCGCTCTGGGATTAGTCGACTCGCATAACGGGTTGGATATCCATGTTAATAAAAAAAATCGCTAAAAGAACCAAAGAACCCTTCATTTAACGGAATTTTTTAATGATTGTTAAAAAGAGGGGTCAAATCCGAACATTTTTATAAACCTCGATGGTTATTTTGCAATTTCAAAACTACAGAAACAAAGTGTTATTTTCAACAAACCAGAGGGACCAAATTTATAATTTAACTCTTATCATTGTGTCATCAATATAAAATATAAACATTAATAATTTAAAAAGGCATATAAAGTTTAAAGGTATCATCGTTGGCAAATAAAAGAAATTGATTTTTAATTTGATTTAAAATTTGACACTTTAAATGTGAGGGACACAGAAAAGAGAAGCTTAGAGATTGTTTATCAAACGTTTATCAGGTAAATGCTTACTGGTAAAAACACCACCTTTAATTACATTACTGCGATTCGTCTGAACTCTTTTGGAATAAGTTCAACAGCAGATCACAGAATCTTGGTCAGTATGTTAATGAAAAATGGCTCGGTGGTATGTTGTATTATGCAAGGAGACATTGCTTTTGAAACGGATGCTAATACCCTGTAGGCTGAGGATTACCTCACCAACTAGCTAATCAGACGCGAGCCCCTTTATGCTGATTTTGGCAGACCGTGCTCCACCCTGGTGGACTCATGCGGTTCCGAGTATTATACTGGAAATTATGATCAAGGATTCCTTTATYAACCGCCATCTACCTCAGAGATTCCTCCTGCGATATTTTTCAAAACATCCCATTTCG